TAAGAAATAGTTGGTATAATTCTTGGAATTTTAATAGTCATAGCAATGATAGGATTTTGTTGTTTTAGCTACTTTAAACGTCGTTATATATTTCGTGATTCTTCACTTTCACATCAGGAAACCGGTACTATCACCTCTCGTGACATACCCAAACTTCAAAACAATCTCCAAAAAAATATTTTTCAAAATAATCTCCAAAACACTAGTTCTAATTTTTCATCACACACTACTAACCAAGTCGATCACTCATACACTGCAAGATTAACATCAAATGCTGAAATGCCATCTCAACGTGTTGATTCTCCATCTCTAACTGAAGGTGGAAGTAGTGGATTTTCAGTTGATGGACGTTCCACTCCTTCAAATTCTTTAAATGCATTTCAAATGTCAAACACAACTTTATATTATAATGGAATTGAAATTCCACCACCAGGTGCTCGGATTATTCCATTAGAATTACAAATGCAGATTGGAAAAGAAATTATGGTCCAAAGAGAAGATTCTCGAATTTCATTATTACCATATCTTGGCTCAAAATATAAATTATCTGATCTGCCATCAGGTACCATAAATAATAGACCTTGTAGTTTATAGGTTGTACACAATAAGCAAAGGGTGTAAATATATATAAATATATAGGCATTTATTAGAAAAGTATTATGTATTACATATTAGTTTGACTAGCAAAGTATATCATTATAATATAAAGTAAAACTATACATATAATTTATTTTTATCTTTATACTACTGTATTTAAAATTAAATATTTACAGTAAAATATATTCATATATATTATATACTGTATTGGAGATTATATTAATTATCTTGTTGAGTATATACAGTATATTATTTATTGGAGATTATATTAATTATCTTGATTATATTAATTATCTTGTTGAATATATATATATTATATTGGAGATTATATTAATTATCTTGTTGAGTATATATTTATTATGTGGTATATATATCAAAGAAAGTTTTATTATCGTTATCTCTTACGAGTGTTGCAAACCTGAAAAAACATTAATCTATTGGTTATTTGTACTACTACGTGAGAGTAGCAAGAGTAATGACGTTAGAATTCAGGTTATTGTTGTAAATTTTTCTTCAGTGAGATTTCAGAGCCTTCTAGCAAATTTTTTATCCATGCCATTTTGTGAATGTAAGAATTATAAAATTTAGTATTATCGTCACCCAAGTTACAGTGTGTCAATTACGTATAGAATATTCATAGTTTGTGTAGAATTCGAAAATTCCCCTTAAATACAGAAATATCAAAAATGGTTATTTCTGAATATCTTTTAAATTTTGAATTAATGCAACCAACTATTTAATAAAGATTTACCAATTTCAAATCCTACAGTTTTCTAGAATTTGAAAATGTATTTAAATTATGAAATTGCTTTAGTATTTTTTGAGGTATCTTCGTTTAATCTTTGAATCAATTTAGGTAATTATGAATATGAATTTGAATACCCAAGAATATCTCAGGCAAAAAATCTATTCATAGCGATGCCGGAATAAAATGGGCCAATTAACGTTACTGTAATAAAAATTTACGATTGATAGCGATAGTGGACCTGCTGTAGGTGACTTCGCCCAAATTTAGATTTGCCGGTTTAAAGGTGTCCTGCACTATATTATTAAATCTGATGTATACTGATACAAAAATATCAAATTTTCCATAAATAGTTGAGCTTTTATCGTTATAACCATTAAACTTCATTAGTTATTTCGACGAGATTACAAAAACTGAATAAAATTTTTATTTCGATATTTTGTTCTTAATACCATTAATAATTAAACTTCATTAGTTATTTCGACGAGATTACAAAAACTGAATAAAATTTTTATTTTGATATTTTGTTCTTAATAACACTAATAATTAAATTTATTGGGTGCATATTCTAAAAGAATATAATTTTATAAATGATAAAATATGATATTACAAGATGGCCGTTATATGTAGAGTTTGCATGAATAACCCTTCAAGCATTACCATCCAAATCAATGCAAGACTTAATTGTGTCATTTAATGTGTCTTTAAAGTTTCATTATCAATAAATATGCTTATCGATCATGGGTTGTACAGATCATTTCCGGCCTAGTATCTATCGTACCATTGTGTTGAAGGAAGATAGAGACTTCATCCTTGGTGAATCCAAAGCAATTTGCGAATTGTTTGCCATGCATCTAATCAGGATCCTTCTCTTTTATGTCGATCCAGGCTTTTATTTCTAGTTCGGCTTCATACTCCACCCGTTCTGTTATTTCAACAAATTGAAAACACTGTTAAATTATTAAGCATTGATTAATATTCTGACTTGGCAACACAAGAAACACCAACAAGGAAGGCTTTATACAAATTTTCATCATTACCCTGCATTGATAAATATCCTGACTTGACAACACGAGACATCAACAAGGAAGGCTTTATATAAATTTCTCATCTTCACTTGCATAATCATAC